TTTAACTGTGCTCTCTTTTCTTTTAATAAAAAATAGTTCACTTATGTGGGGGGTGGGTATAAATTAGTGCATGTTTATTATAAAATTTTCAAACATTGCAGAAAAAAAATACAAAAGTCAGAGTCATCCATCTTCTAACTCCTCAGAACATTTCCAACATCTTCTTAAGTATCCTTTCATATGTCTCTTTGCTATTGTACTCATTTTTATTGCTGCATAACACATTACCAAAAACTTAGCAACCTAAAACTATTATCAGTTTCTCTGGATCAGGAGTTTGGGCACAGGTTAACTGGGTCCTCTGCTCAGGGTCTCAAATAATGGCAATCAAAATGTTAGCTGAGGCTGTGGTCCCATCTGATGTTCAGGGCTCTCTTTCAAACTCATTTAGGTTCTTGCAAGGATTCAGTTCCTTGCAGCTGTAGAACTCATGGAAGCTTCCATCTTTTACAGGGCCAGTAGGAGGATATCTCTGCTGCTTCCAATCTCTAGCTTGCTCTGTCCCTAACCTCTAGACCCAGATTTAAAGGGCTCACCTGGTTAGATCAGGCCCACCTTGCTATCTCCCTTTTAATTAACTCAGAGTCCACAGATTAATTATCTTAATTACATGTGCAAAATTCTCTTTGCCATGTAAAGTAACATAATCACAGGAGTTATATACCATCATATTCATAGATTTCACCCACATTCAAGGGGAGGAAATTATACAATTTAGAATTCTGCCTTCCACACTTATCTACATACACAATGAACACATACACTGTGTTGTATGTGTTATTATTAAATAATGTGTTAATATTAAAACTTAATATTCCATAAGCATATTTCCTGCCTAATAAATGTAGATCTGCATTTTTATGGCTGAATAATGTTCTGTTTTGTGTTTCAAAACAATCACGTATTGGACAGTTTCTGATTTTTCCTTCTTGTAAATTATGCAAGGATGAACATTCTGAAGTACCTGTCTTTGCATCTGTGTGATTATTTGCTACACATAAGTTCTAAGGAAAGGGTTTAGCCAAAGGATAAACCAAACCAATGTTGTGACATTCTCTGAAGGTCCCTCAGCAATGCATGGTGTTATTTTTCTAGGGAGGCTCTGCCTTTGGTGAAGATTCTGCAGATCCTTTGCACCAGTTCTGCTGAGTTATTAGCATCCTTGAAAGGAGTTCTAGAAATCACTAGCTGTCACTGCAGGAAAAAAAAGTAACATGAAGCAAAGACGTGTTCTTCACTTGTCATTCCAACATTATTCTCCCTCAAAAAAGTTATTTTCAACTTGATTAAATAACTCTCAATGAAATGGGGGCTTTAATTTCTACACTGCTTCTTTAGAAAGAAGCAACAAGAAAACTAGATCACTTTGAAGGTTTCTAACTTTTCTTTTACCTTTAAAGTGACACTGTACATTTTGATCGTATAGGGGGAAGTCAAGTTTCAAATGAAGTCTCTGAGAAAATATAAAACCATGAATCTTAATAACAAACAAACAAACGAAAGTTTAATTACACCTGCCTTGGAGATGTCCTACACTTGCTAGGAGTTGTCCTTGCCTTTCAATCAAGCAATACTTTCTGAGCACTTCCTAAGGCCTAACTCTAGCACTGGGAATGTGATTGTGAACAAGACAGAGCCCCAGAAGTGAATCACTCCCTCGACGAATGCATAATAAAATTACAAGATGAAAACAGAAAGACTATGACAGATCTAGATAAAGAAACTTTAAAGTAACCTTTCAGGAAGCATATATATTCCCCAATCTGCAGACAACCTTGTGGTAAATGGAATTCAGAAATGTCTGTAAATATTAAACCCCTTTCACAGGGGACCTTGAAATCAAAGACAAGCATGTGTACCCAGAAATACTTAACATCCAGACAAAAGGGAACCCTCATGGCATGAGTGGTCCAGGACACATTTTCCCTGGCCATTCTTGAGCAGAGAGAATGGCATGATTAAAAAAAAAAAAAATCTATGGCTTTGGAGGTAGCATCCTCCCACTCTGTTCACGACGAGCCTGGGAGCCCAGCCATTGGCTTTCTACCTATTGACTAAGGCCCAACCCCAAACTCAGTTCTCTGAGATCTGAAATACAAAGCTTGTTTATCTTGTTCAAGGCTAACCCTGTCCAGGATATTTGATTTTAAATAAGGAGGTTCTGGCACCTATTAATCTAGGGTGGTGGTGTAACAGTGAAATCCTAGCTAGAGCCAGGATTGCTAAACACAGGTTGCCTACACGGATTGTGTAGGAAGCAGGACTATGTCCATTTGGATTGCAAATGTTTCCTTGCCGTTTTCCTGGATCTCCCTGCCTAATGATGTAACTTTCACCGTTCTGGAGGGAGGCTAGCCGTCATGTTTAAACTCACAGTGACCTTCTTTCCTGCTTCAGAGGAAAGATACAGGCTCTCAAGTGGGAACCAACCTCATGTTCCTGTCCAACACCTCCACACCTTGACCCTGATCTACACCTACACCTCCCTGTCCCTGCAAACAATGCCTCGCTCCCCACACCCAGGAGTGGTGTGGCTGTCAACCTCATCCTCCTGCATTCTTGAGAGTTGAGTGTCCTTTTATTCAATCTCTCTACTCTCTATTCCCACTCCCTGCACTGGTTCTTCCTCTGTAAGCATGACAATCTCTCCTAATGTGAAACTAATCAAAACACTCTTGCCTGCATTGCATTACCTTCTAGCCATGGCCCTATCTTCTTTTTTTTCCCTTCACAACCTAGATCACTCTGAGGAGAGAAACCTACACTGCATCTCTCTGTTTCCATGCTCTCCTCGTTTGGCTCTGTCCCCATTTTCCTCCACCATCCATGAAGACGCCAGGAACTCATCCAACCCTGACTGTCTCATGGGTATATAAAAACATCTCTAGGGTTTTGTCTCCTGGGTTTCTCACTGGCTCTCAAGTTCATCACGTCCAAAATTGAACTTGTCAGCCACCCAACACACACCTCCCAACACAAACCGTCTTCTCTTCCTCCTTCATTCAGTCTTGGTAAATGGAACCATCATACTCCCTGGAAACACGAAAGTCTTCCTGCACTCATCCAGCTCTCTCACCTCCACGTGCTGTACCCGCTGATGGCTCCTGGACCTCCCCACAGGGGTGGAGGTCAACTCAGCTCCTTGGCCCATCCTGCCTCCCCACCCAACTTCCACAAAGACAGATTTGCAAATTTAACTTGCCCAAGAATAGAGCTCAATCATTTGATTTGAGATAAAAGGATCTCACAGTCTCATCCTCTCCTACAGCATAGTTCATTGTTTAAGAGCTTGGGCCCTGGAACTCTATCACTAACCAGGTGTGTGACCTCAGGCAAGATTCTTAACCTCTCTGTGCTTCCCATGCAATCTGGAGATAGTAATAGTACCTTTCTAATAGGGTACGGGAACATCATCTGTGCTAATATACATAAAAGTTTTAGGACAGTGCCTGGAACACAGTAAGTGCTGTGCATTTGTCAGTTTTGTGATTCTCTGCCCACCCTCACCTGCCATCCTTCTCCCCCGTGCACACAAATACACAAGCACGCTGTCCTCACGCCACAACGAACAGCGTGCAGTCCCCCAAACACACCGTGTGGGTTATTTCATGCCTCCACAATTTTGTTCTTACTTCTCTTGTTGACTTTCTAAACCCCCACATTCCTCAGGACTTAGCTCAAGTACCACTTTTGCTGTGAAACTTGTCCTCATTCCCTAAGGGTTTTCCCACTGAGACCCCAGTGTACCCCCAAATGAATTTCCACTGCATCACTTCTATGAATTATTTTAAAAAATCCGAGACTTACTATTTTTGAGCACTTATCACATGCCAGGCCCTATTTCTAAGTGCTTTACTCCCATCATCTTGTTTAAGCCTCACAGGAAATCTATGAAATGTTTGTAACAATTGGTTTACCTTTTCATCATTCCTCCTAGATCACGAGGGTCTTTGTGGGCATGAACCTATGTATCAGTCATCGCCACATCGCCAGCACCTAGCCTGGTGCAAAAAGGGTACATAGTGAAATTAATACCTCCAAATTGAGCCAATCAAAGATGAGCCAAACTCGGAGATGGGAACATGTACGAATTCCTGACATTGAAGGACATTTAGGCAAAGGATGAATGGTAGCTGGATCTGAAATTCATCCATGCTATAAACAAAGACTGTTATAACTACCTCCCCCCACCGTTAAATCGTTATTACTATATGAATATTTTCTACAGTGCAGATGGGTTAATGTGCTTTCATTGGTTTCTGTACTGTCATATAATTTCAGGTCTTTCCAAGGACATGATAATACAATTCATGATGACATTTTATTCCATGCTCTTGCCTCAAGGGTCATATGCAATGTTCTGAAAAGTTTTGCGTGGCCCTCAGGTTGTGGGTTGCCCACCTTTAATAAAGGGTAAAGAGACACTCACACTGATACCCTTTTCTTCTTGTTGGACACCAAATGGAAATTTGCCACAAGTTAGAGACAATTATAGTCAGGAGTTAACATTATAGTTTCTATGGCAACAGCCTAAGCCCATAAACACAAGCATTCTATTGCTTAATTGTTACAAGAGATCTGCTTCTTATAAATCGAATATGCATAAATGTAAACATAAATATAAAAGAAATTCAAAGATATTTGTATTTCAGTTTCAATTAACTTTTCTTTTCTATCCTGTTAGCACATAGTACATTTTGTTTCATTAGGCAGCAGAAGATGGTTAAGAACAAAACTGTTTCATGCGCTGGGTGGCCTTGAAACTGATATTAGCAGGGAAGAGAGATGTCCAGCCACCTGATGCCCCCCAGGGGTGCCAGTGGGAATGCATCTGCCCAGAAAACTCAAGTCCAGGATATCTCTCAGGAGTCTTCAATTTGGTTTATTCCATCCCAGCAACTTGTAGATAGCGTACTCACAGGAATTCTGGCCACCTTTTGATTTCTTGGGGCATTGAATGGGATGGGAAGTTTAATCTCACTGGGGTGGTGTTTTCTCAGGAACTACCACTGCTGGAATGAAGCCTGGATGACAAGACCTGATCTTCCCGTTGGATTTGGAGGGTGGCAAGCTGTGGACAGCACCCCCCAAGAAAACAGTGATGGTAAAACTGCATCGTCCCTCATGGAACTCGTTTCACTGCGATCTTTATTTTGCTGTTAGGATCGCATTTGATGTGTGGGCAAAACTCCCATTAGGAACCAACATCGAAAGTGTGCTTCCTGGGCCCATGTACAGTATTAACAGCCTGTCGATCAGTTTAATTTCATTTCAATGGTCAGTTTTCCCCTGATTATTTCTACAACCGGTAAAAAAAAAAAAAGCATAAAACTTAACATATGTAATTCATCTACTCTTGCTTTGATAAGCAGTTTTGAAGACAAGAGAAAAAAATATCCTTGTAGGCACTTTTACTAGGCTCTAAAATACACCTCGGCCCTCTGTGATGTAGTGATAAGATATAAGCCAGTAGAGAAAATAAAGAACTCAAAAAATAGTTACAGATCATCCTTTAAATTATTGTTTTCCCAGAACCTGATTTCTTTTTATGTTGTGTGATTTCTTCCAAAACCTAAGTATGTGGGTATATTCATCATCTAACTTGCAGTCTATGCTAAGCAATGAATGGCACCTATGATCGCCCTCAGATTTTTATGGAATCACATCAGAGGCCTCCATTTCTCTTTAATATGATGATAAAAGCCAGTGGCTTTTATTATGTTTACTTCCTCAGGTGTTGATATGAGATACTGACGTGTGTGTATATACCCATATATCCATAAACATTCATAACTTATTCATAAGAGACTCATGCTTTATTTATGCTCGATTTTGAGGGAGAATGTTCAACACTTTCTGGTGTTCTCAATTATGTATCATGAGGAGACGTCAGAAATGACTAATGGCAGTTACTTTCTTATTAACCAGAGATAGCTGGTTAAAATGTAAGGAACTTTGTAAAGGTAATCATGTGCCTATTGACTTCAGGAATGCATGCTGGGCATTGATCAATGTGTTGTTAATGTCCAAATTCCTCAATTTAATACTTGACGTACATGCATGATGTCCAAAAACAAAACACAAAAATCAAAACAAACAACAACACAACCAGGGGGGACACATTACCATCTCCAACATTCCAGAGACCTGTGTAAATGGACCAATCCTCTGTAAGCAAACAGCTCAGCCTCAGAACAAACATCTGGAGTATGTGTTCTAGGTGGGAGAACAGACAGAGACGTAGTGACTGCCCTGTATTCTTCTCATGGCTTCAAATTTTGGTTTGAGGATGCATTTCCAACAAAGCCCTCTTGATTACACACCTTGGTCATTCACCGTCTCCGGCCATGGGAAGCATGTGGGCTTAATCAGTGATGAAGTCAGGAACACTTGCCCCTACAAAGTCTGTATCTGTATCTGGACAGAAGTGAAGACGACAGACTCATGCTTCCCTTTCCTCTGTGTGATGCAGGGATGTATCGGTGTGGCCCAGCCTCCGTTCAAGCCATTAAGCACGGCCATATTTGCTTCCAGTTTGATGCACCCTTTGTTTTTGCAGAGGTAAGTAGTAAGCCAGAGAGAAGTGCCGCTTTCTTCCCCAATCTCTTAATACTTGAAAAATAAGACACCAGGTTGTTACTTCTAAATTTCCCAAGTCCATGGCACATGTTTCATGTCTACAAAGTTGACTAAACATCATTCCAACCTCCAGGCTCTTAATTCTAAATGTAGTTCTTACTTAACATTTTTCTTTCCTTGATGTTTTGAGATTTTCTCCTTGAAAAGGAATTGTGTTACTAACCTTAGCTGAGTTCTTCGCACCCACGAAATAGGTATCAACTGCTCCTGAGAAATTAAGTGACTAAATGAATCCCTCAACTAAAAATTGGTGGAAACAGTCCATGAATTGAAATTTCAGAGCTTACTACTTCACTCTGACACTAACCTAGCAGTTCACGTAAAAACAAAATCCAGACACACCCCAGCCATGGTCTTAGTCTGGGAACTGCAACCCATTTCCTGCCACTCCAGGCCTTCCTCCGTCATCGGGGAGGGAAAGCAGAGCTGCTGAAATAGGGAGGGGAGGGAATGGCAGCTAGAAGGCAGCATACTTCATGGGTTGATGGGAACACTTTTGTAAAGGGTCTGAAATTCTGAAAGATTTGGATGGGGACTAGGAGCAGATGAGGCAGTTAGAGAATACTCCAAGGAGATCTCTAAAAATCAAATTAAATATAAAAGGTATTGGTAAAGGAGAAGGTTGGGGAGCTGGGAGGCTGAGGGCAGTGGGTAGAGAGAAGAGAAATATGTGAGAGGCTGAGAGGCAGGATTTACCCAGAATATAGTTTCACCAACAAACACACTGAAGTAATGTCTGTTGTATACAGAGTTCTTACCATGTAATCACTGTGCCTACCATTTGAGGCTGTTAGCCACCCTTTAAAATCGGTATTATGATTCTTCCCATTTTACAGAAAGGAAAATTGAGGCAGCATGGTTAATAACCTTTCCACATTCACTGAACTAATAAACAGTCATGCTAAGATCTAAAGCCAGGCAGGTACTGAAGCTCATGACATTAACCACCACACTCTACTACTACTCTGGGATGAATAAATACCTATTATAAATATGTGGCAGGCACTGTCCTGTGGGGAACTCAGAACCCTTACGAAACTAGATTCTTGGGGAGCCTGGGTGGCCCAGTCCGTTAAACCTCTGACTCTTAGTTTTGGGAGATGGAGCCCCTGGACAGGCTCCGCGCTCAACGGGAGTCTGCTTGAGATTCTCTCTCCCTCTGCCCCTCCCCCTCGTGTTCTCACTCTCAAATAAATATATCTTAAAAAAAAAAAGAAATTAGATTCTTGATGGGAGGTGGCAATACATAGCACATCAAAAGTTAAATAACAGTAGTACAGGAGACTCTGTGGAACTAATTGTCAGATGAGCAATATAGGTGATAAATGATCTGCATTTAATACATACAGATTCGTTAATTGAGAAACACGGGTCAGGAACTGAGTAGGACAGTAAAGGCCATAAGACACCATCCAGGGAGGGAGGGTGACATGAGGACAGAGGATAATGACGCCTGTGTGGCTGGGCAGAGCATTGTGGGAGCACACGGAGGGAGGGGCAGGGAGGCTCCCTGGAGGGGTTAGTGCCTGAACTGCATCTTGAGGGACAGTTTGTAGTTATTCAGGCCAAGTGGGTAAGAAAGAAGCCAGAGGAAGGAAAGAATCTGAGGCAGAGGGGACAATTTGAGCATCCGAATGGGGTGTGTGGGAAATGACAAGCTGTTGCAGGCTCAGGAAAAGTGACGTGTCAGGGGTGTAGAAGATGAAGGCAGAAGGAACTGGACTCCTTTACAGAAGGACTTGAGCCCCGTGGAGCTGGGACTTGAAAGGGGTGGCCCAGAGCTGGGGGCAGGGGTGAGATCAGAGGGAAGGCTGTATCTGCTCCACACCCACCCGAGAGGGCGGGGCCTGAGCTCCCCAAATGGCAAGAGGCGGGAAGGAGGAGGCAGCATCCGGAAATGTTTAGGAAGTAAAATAAGTGTGAATATTCAGACAGCAAGATCGGGAATTTGAAACACACAAAGGGGATAGTATTGCTTCCACGGAGACTACCATTACAGTTACTAGAAGCCTGGGGGGAAAAGGCAGACTGTATTTCGAATTTCATCCCCCTCGATTTCACTTCGGGATTTGGGGATTTATCCCAACCTCCCCAGCTGCCAACTGATAGTTTATGATGCTAGGAGAAACTCTTAATGGGAAATCACTCTAAAATTCACAGAGCCATGTTTTTATATTTTTATTATGCTTTGTTGCTGCAAAGAAAGACAGAGGGAGCAACCTCCCTCCAAGAGTGAATTGCCTAATAGCTGTTAATGCAAACGCTTTTTGCTATTATTAAATATAGATCAGGGTGTTATGCATGTCATCGGGATTTGCAGATTATAATTACTCCTCTCTCAGCCACTGCAGACTTGTCTGACAGATCGGACGATTTGCTGCTTTGGCACGGGCTGAACCCCGGGGCTGAGCCATTTATAAGAGATGCTCAAGCTGTTGAAAGTGTATGAGGAATCTTTTCTCAAGGGTGCCCAAAGTAGGACCACATGGGGGGCATCGAATTTAACTTTAATGAGAGTGTCCATGACTCAGGTTCAGACTGCATCCTCCCTTCCCTTCTCCATCCTCTGGCTGCGTAAGCCTGCCTGTCACACCCCAGGCAGGCAGCCCAGTGTGCCTTTTCTTGCCTCTCGCTGACTTTCTTGGTCATTCCTTACTCACTTCCGGGCTGGATTAAACATCATGTTCACTGACGTTTTTTGATCTTCTCAGAGCCGTGGTCTCCTTTAGTTAAAGCAAAATCCAAAATAAGAAGTGAAGGGGAGCAGAGGATACAGGTTTCCAGTTATAGAATAAGCCACGGGGATGAAAGGCACAGCATAGGGAATATAGTCAATGATGTTGTCATAGTGTTGTATGGTGACAGATGGTAGCTACACTTGCCGTGAGCATAGCATAGAGAAGTTTGAATCACTATGTTGTACACCTGAAACTTATGTAACATTGTGTATCAACTAGACTCAAATTAAAAAATTAAAAAGTAAAAATTTAAAAAAGAGGCATGTACATGGGAAGGATCCTATCTCTGCCCCTTTTCCTCTCCTCCTCCATTTTCGAAATGTATTCTTCACATTTCTAGATAGCTTCCAGGGCTTGAAGCTTATTTCTCATGCCCTCAGCGCCATGACGAGGACCTCCATTCTGGAAGCCCATCTGCCTTTTCTCTCCCCAACTAATGGTGGCCTTTGGCTTCTAAAGGTGGGGAAGAGGAGAGAGCAGAAGAGTGCTAGGGTCTGAAGTCCTCTCCTGAGTTCCCATGTTCACTGAGCGCTTGGGGGTTGCTGCTTCTCTTCCATCTTAGCTTCCTCTCATTGGCTCTGTCCTCCCCTTCCTACCGGCCCACCCCAAACCTGCACATAGGTGCACACTCGAGCACATGCCCACTCCTCCTTCCCTCCCTGTCACTGAGCTGATTTTTGCAGCAATGATGACTGGTCCCCCAGGGCCACAGTAACTACTCCATTGCTCAGAAGCTACATAGCACTTTCCCTTGCTCTGGGCCAGAGGTTCTTTGTATACAAACTCTACAGACACTTCATTCTCAATTCAACGTTATTTTGCTACCACTTTTTAGCCCATTTTGGGGGACTCCTATTCTGATCTAAAATAGTTCATCCATTTATTCAAATAATGTATAACATTTTGGAATCAGGTTGGCTTCTCTTCTTAATCTTCATGCATCTTGCCAGAAATACCTTCTAAAGAGAGCATGCATCCAGCCAGGTCTGTGATGCCCATTATTACCCTTTGAGCTCTGTGTAACATTGAGCTCTATGAACTTGATTCCTAGCCCACCTCCCTTCCCTCCTCTGACCCTTTTCCTGTTTATTCTCCAAAGTCTAACCAGAATCATCCTTTAAAAATGTAAATAAAACACATTAGTCCCTTGCCCCCAACCTTCTAATGGATTTCCACAACGCTTACAATAAAACTGAGCACAAGTCTTTACAAGATTCTATGTGATCTGGCTCCTGGCTTTCCTTCCACCTCTTCCCTTGCTCATTTCCCTCCAGTCATACTGACTTTCTTGCTCTTCTGGCAACATGCCAACATACTCTTGCTTCTGAACCTTTATATATACTGTTCCTTTTGCTGGGAAAGCTCTCCCCTACCCTCCACCACATCCTTGCACATCTGACCCCTCCTTGCATCCAAGTCTCTGCTCAGGTCACCTCCTCAAAGAGGTCTTCACTCATCCCACCCCACCCCCACCTAAAATCTCACTTCCTGGCCTGTCTCACAACACTTGCCTTAGTGTTATTATTTCTCTCCTTTCTAGAATATAAGCTCCATGAATGTATCCTCATCACTGAAAACAAGTTCTGGCACAAAGTAGTCATGAATAAATACTTGTTGAATGAATGAGGATGGATGGATGAATGAAGCAAGCAAGCAAACAGAAGCGGAGGCAGAGTACCCTGCTAAGAACTGAGTCTCAGAGAGATAGGATCCAGATGGTGCCCTCAGGTGCTGGCAGTCCTGGTGGGAGACGAGGCACAGGGACAGAGCAGCAGACAGCACACACAGGGGCCTGGCAAGCACAGAGTAGAAGGATGGCAGTTGTACCAGAAGGTTCATGCACTGCCTCCGTGAGCTCTCAGAGGAGCACCACTTTCTCCGCACAGCCTGTTTTGTAGTTATCTCTAGTTAGGAACAAATGAACAAAGCAAATCTTCCTGGATCCTGAAAAAAGAGTTTCCATCCTTAGTGGCAAAGAGCATAGCTTCTGCCAGCAGTAGACATATGCTTACATTCCAGGGGCACGTGCAGAACTTTGTCGAGAGGGGGACCCTAAGCTTGCAGCCCCAGCCCACCTTTGCTGAGCCCTAGGGCTCAGCAAGCACCTCAGCAGAGGCTGAGTAGAAGTGCCTGTGTCTGACAAAGGGGCAAAGTTGTGGTGTGCTGAAACCAGCACCAGATTTCATGTTGGGATGCTCAGGTTCTATGTGACCACAGTCCCCTCAAGTGTAGGGTAGGACAAGATGGCCACTAAGACTCCTTTTCATTCAAAAGAAATTAGCCTTCAACATAGGGCTTTCTCCAGCAGTACTGATCTAGGTTTCTGCCCGGCAAGAATGGCATTATTAAACCCAAGCTGAGAGACAGTGAGTAACTTGCCCAAAGTCACACAGTACAGATCCAATATTCTTTCCAGCACGACCTGCACTTACAACTGTCTACCGCAGACATGCAGTTGGCCTTGGGTGGGGGCCTGTCACCATTACTCTTTTAAGCCCTCAGTGGCTCATACGCAGCCAAGATGGGGGACCATTGCACTGGTGGCTGAAACCGAAAAGAAAGCTTGCTAATGTCAATTGGAAAGAATACTTTCTCTCCACACCCCCACAATATACATATGCAATAGCCATTTCATATGTGGGTTTCTCCTCTCCTCTCTCTACAAGGGACAGTGCTGCTGGGCTGGCCTGAGATTTGAGCCCACATAAATTTCCTAAGCTCTATGCTCAAGGGGAGACAATTTAGCCACTTTTCATATTTAGCCTTGTCTCCCTGGAAAACTGTAAACTGTTGTAAGGGCTGTTATTAAGAAGATATTTATCAGCATTGTTGCTCTAATTTGCAAGAGGAGGAGGCTGTTTGTGCTCGCATGGCCTTCTCCAGAGGGAAAGCCAAAAGTCTCAGGAAGCTCTTTTAAAGTTTCCTTAACTTTTTTTTTTTTTTCCCAAAAATGACAAATATCCCTGGTGTCTGCCCTGTCATGGCCTATCCTAATTCCTAAATTCATATTTTGGTCTTGCACATCCTATGGCTAGTGCCACAAAGCTGTGATTATTCTGCTAAGGAATGAGGTCACCATTTATCACCCCTCAGATATCTGAGGCCCATGCATGGAACCACTTGCACCCCAAGCATGAAACCATCTTACCACCTCAGGGCGGCGCTGGTGGTCCAGTAGGGCTGTATGGGAGAGGCAATGCACTGTGAGGGTCAGGGAATGGGCCAGCCCAAGGTGAAGGTCAGGGAATGGGCGATGGGCCAGCCCAGGGTTTCAGTCTCCAGCAGCTCCCAGCTATGTGACCACAAACACTTTGCTGACCCTTCTTTTTTTTTTTTTTTTTAAAGATTTTATTTATTTATTTGACAGAGAGAGAGAACAAGTAGGCAGAGAGGCAGGCAGAGGGAGAGGGAGAAGCAGGCTCCCCGCCGAGCAGGGATCCCGACGCGGGGCTCGATCCCAGAACCCTGGGATCATGACCTGAGCCGAAGGCAGCCGCTTAACCAACTGAGCCACCCAGGTGCCCCACTTTGCTGACCCTTCTTAACCCACTTGGCACCCTCATCTATAAAATAGGGATAATAATACATACCTCACAGGTTGTTGTTGTTGTGAGGTTTAGATTAAATAATTTGTAAGTGTCCCTGAAACCTTGTGGCCCTTCAATGAATGTCAACTACTTGCTTTCACCTTAGTAGAGGTCAGAGTCCATGTAAATTCAGAACATTTTGTGAGAAAGTAAAGAAAAGTTGCTTTTTTTAACCTCAACTTTGAAAGTTAGGGCTTTATCATCAAGTTCCCCCATTACCTAATAAAAACCATTACATTTTTACTCAGTTTTAAAGTTTACAAGTCATGCTCACATAGATCCTATTTTGCTTGGTGCTGTCTCATTAAAGCGTTACTATGAAATTGGCAGAAGAAGTATAACTATTTTCATTTTCTAGAAACAGGAACTGAAGTTCAGAGAGGATAAGGTAGCTTTCCAAAAGTACACATTCAAGATCAGAACCCGAGGTTCTTGCTAATCCAGTGTGTCTCTGACCCACCCTCTCCGACCTGTGGTTATGGCAGTCCCTCTGCCTGTCACAGCCTTCCTCTCTCCATTTTTTTTTTTTTGCTTTATTCTTTTTAGCTTTATTGGGGTATGATTAACGTAAAATATTGCACACATTTAATAGATACATCTTGATGAGTTTGTACATATGCATACACCTGTGACATCTTCCCCACAATGAAGGAAGTACACATGGCCACGGCCTCCAGAAATTTCCTTGTGTTCTTTTGTGAGCTTTTGTTGGTTGGTTGGTTGGTTAGTTTGTTAGTAAGAGCACTTAACATGAGATCCTTTAGTTCGCTAACTCCTATGCATTTTCCGGTTTTCAACTTGGCTGTTACTTCCTAGTCACCTTCCCGCCCCTCCCCACCCTGCCCTGCCCCACTGCCCCAGGTGCTCTGGTGGTATCTTAAGCATCCCCCCACCCCGGGGACTTATTGTACTGTATTGCCAGGGTCTCAGGTCTGGGTGTCCAATAGAATTAATTGAGAACTTCTTTTAAAAATAATAGACTTAGCACCCCACCCAAGACCTCCTCAATTGGGCATCTATTTTTTTTTTTTAAGTTCCTCAGGTGATTCTAATGCACAGATTCTCCCTTACTAGAGTGTAAATCCTACAAGAACAGTGACTAAATGCATTTTGTCCATCTCTAGGACTATAGCCCTACAGCATCTCAGCAATACTATTAATTTATGATATTATTATTATTTATAGAGCATTTGATCTATGCCAGGCACTATGATAAGTAATTTACAGACATCTATTTCAGTTAATTTTCCAACCACTGTGAGGAAGACACTATTGTCACCCTATTTGAAAGAGTAGGGATGTGTAGCTTGGAAAACATTTCATGAACACCTCAGAGACTGTTTTCAGCTGGAGCTCCTGATAATACACTGTAGTTCATGTTTCTACCTGCTCCCATGCTAATAAATGGGATCCTAAGAAAGTGGTTATAAAGAATATAACAAGAGACTCTAGGGGGGTCAGCCCTCAGGCACAGATTTAGACATTGTCTCTAGAAAGTAGACTGATAAGGCAGAATGTCAGAAGAGCTTGGGGTCAGCCGGCATGGCCCCAAGATGCTGTCTCCAAATACCACAAATAGCATGGTTCCATTGCTGAACCACCACAAAATTGCCTGAATTTTTCCTGATAGCCTAATATCATTTTTCAGTTAAAATGCTTTTGGCTGCAAGTAACAGAATTAAAATGACTTAAACGTGAAGAGTTTACCTATAATTTTTCTCATGTAGATAATCCTAAAGTAGGCGGTCCCAAGGTTGACTCAGCCATTTAACAACATTGTTAAGTCCGCACGTGCTTCTTGTCTCTCTACTTGGCCATCTTTGTATTGTTGGCAGTGTTTCTCTTCACTGTCCCAGGAAGGCTACAAAAGCTCCAAACATCACCTCACTTAATGTGAAAACATTGAAAAGGAGAAAGGGAAGGGCAAACTCTCTCCTTTTATAACAGAGAAGAATCCTACCCAGAAGCCACCCAGCAGACTTCTTCTTCTTCCCAGAAGTAGGTCACACAGCCACTGCTGGGTTAAAAGCAGTCTGGGAAAGTGAGTAACAGGTGTGATGGTTTTGGCTCTTTCTGAGGAGGTGGAATTCACCAGCAAGAAAAAGGAGAGAAAGAAGTGGTTGATGTTTAAACAATCAATAGTCCAAATACTCTTCATTTATAACACCTGATAACTAAAATAAGCTAGATTATCCTTCAGATTCATTTTAAAACAAGTTCAGCCCAATAAATCCAATGTTGTTGAAGAAAGGAACATGTCCGCTCTAGGGATCCAGGATGGCTACACCACTGAGAGAGATTCTGATGACAAGGACTTCAGATGGTAGCTAACGCTCCCTTCTCCTGTTTTTAGGTCAACAGTGATCTCGTTTACATTACAGCCAAGAAAGATGGCACTCATGTGGTTGAAACCGTTGATACCAACCACATTGGGAAATTGATTGTAACCAAAGAAGTTGGAGGAGATGGCATAAAGGATATTACTGATACCTACAAATTCCAAGAAGGTAACTTACTGCCACTGAATGAAGATTTCTTTGCCCAAGTTTGTTTAATACTTACCTGCTGTCACTATGAAATGTGTTCTGGAGAATACACCATAAACCCTCATGAGGGAGACACCTCACACCCACAATTTCTCCTTGTAGTTTTCTTTATTTGCTTTGAGCAGAATTCCCCTTCACATTGCTTGTGAAGACAATTTGGTTTAAAGTCATGTCTCTTTTAACACAATATAGTTCTTGCTCACAAAAACACGGAAGAATCTTAACTTTCAATAATAGAAAACACTGTATAACTAATGTAATTTTAGTTTAATTATAGAAATTTAAACAGCCATTCACAGTTGTTTAGTACTTTACAAACTATCTGCATATACATCGTTCCATTGAATTATCACGGAAGTCCCTTGAAATAGATAATACAATATTAACAAGACAGTGTGATCTCACTAATTCAGGACAATTAGGTCAAAGGCCCATTTCAATTATAAAATAATATTAATGTTAATAATGTTTATTGTGTAGACAGTTTCAAATGGAGCTGTTGAGTTCAAGCCCATTTTGGTCAGTACTGGGTGCCTACTCTATGTCTAGAATGGTGTTTGGTGCTGGGGATCCCCACGGTGAGCAGGATTCAGTTTCTGTTCCTGGAAAAGTGATAGGATCATCATGCAGAGGGTGTGGGGAACAAAGAAGAAAGACACACAGTCCAGCCAGGAGATTCAGAAAAAGCAGAGCAGGGTAAGAGAAGTCACAGACCACAGTTAAATAAATCTAGACAGGGGCTTCCAGGCAGTGGTAACATGACCAAAGGCATCCTGGAGATGTGAGTTAGTCGGTGTGTTTAGGGTCCTAAAAACATCAAGCTCAGAGTGCCAATGGCTAGAGACAAAGCTGGCCAAGGTCAGTAGTAGATAGGAGGTAGAGGAGCTTGGGTTTCTTGATGGGGAATGTGGAGTATATTTTACAAATGATTCACCAGTAGAGGTTCTTAGGAGTAGGCATTTATTTTAGTGAATGGAGAGAAATGACAAGTAATTAGCATATACCTAAATATTCATCAGTACTCCTGAAGTGCTAAGGAATGCAGAATTCATTTTAAATATTTTAGATAGTCTCTCTGCTCTTATTTAAAAAAGCAATTTGCACTATAAAGAGAAAGTTTGCTGAATTGAGAATTCTCACGCATTGTATTAGAAATTCAGGATTTTTGTCACCTGAACTAGTGAATTTTTGCTATATTTCTGAAGTGGTTCATTCTTTTCTTCTATTGGTTATCATCCATTGCACAACATAGATACAAATGTGTTTTTTTTTTCTTTTTGGCTTTTTCCTGAAATGAGAGTTTAAAAAACCATAAGTACAATAAAACAAAACAAACAAGTAATGCCCTCTTGTTATAGAGTTATGGACAAAAAGGTTCGGGAAGGAAAAATAAAAGTCCCTAGGAAAAGAGAAAGAGGGACGCCGGGGTGGCTCAGTCAGTTAAGCGTCTGCCTTCAGCTCAGGTCACGATCCCAGAGTCCTGGGATCGGGCTCCCTGCTCTGTGGGGAGCCTGCTTCTCCCTCTGCCTGGCACTGCCCCTGTTTGTGCTCTCTCTCTCTCTCTCTCTCTGACAAATGAATAAATAAAATCTTTAAAAAGAAAAAAGAGAAAGAAACTAGCTGCAACATTCACTCATCTATCATTCATCCATTCAACAACTTGATCTTAACCACCCACCATATTCCCAGCACTGTTGTGTAGGGATGAGATGCACAGTCCTGCTTTCCCATCTAGCTGGAGAGATGAGCGGGAAGCAAGCCCTCACCATGCTGTGCAGCAGGTGCCCAGAACAGGGCACAGAGAAGGGAGTTCCAAATCAGACTTGGGATCCTGAAGGACATTAGTGGTGGGCTCACTGAGACAGAAAGAGAAACAGGTATTGGCCAGGTGAAGCATGAGGAGAGACTTCTCCAGGAAAAGGCAGCCCACCAGGGATTGTGGATAAACTCCTGGTGTGGAAGAAGTCTTGAACAGACAGTGTAGAGAAGAAGCGGTAACCCTACAGGGAGCCATCCAGACAACCAGCTGTCTCTTCTACACCACACAGCAGAACGCCATTGTCATTAGCTGTCATCCGTGGAGGTGGCAGTGAAGGCCAAATCAGGGTCAGATGTCAAAAGAGGAAGGACCAAAAGCCAGTCCAATGGAAGAGGAGTTGGGGCTTGACCAGGGGTGGACACCAGATTAAAAGAAATAAAATGTGCCCACTCTGGATAAGGAAGATAGCTGGAGGTTCAGGCTTCCAGAGTTTGGCAAGAAAGCAAGGCTCAGGGAGGTGGACCATATGGAGGTCTGGTCCAAGCAGAAGAACCCCTAAGTCAGCATAGTTATGGGACACCCCATCTGGCTTCTGGGCTGGAGTTTGATCCCAGGAGGTTAATTAGCCTCTTAACCAAGAATGGCAGCTGCATTTTAAATTCTGACTTTAGGAATGGCCGATTGGGGTGCTATTTACAGAAGGATGCAGACACCGTGCCTGAATCTGGCAGGACCGACTGAGTGATTACAGATGTCGCCACAGGCCCCTAGGAGAGGCTGCTCGTATCGTGGTCATGCATTTGTCACTCTGCTTCTCATTATTGAATCTCTCATATAATTGCTCTATCCATAAATGCTGAATGTGGGCACTAAAATGTAGAGATGAATAAAAACATAGAGAAGAAATTATTACCAGATTCAGGAATTAACTATTTTAATTAACTAAATTGTGGAAAGATCATTTTTCACGTGGAGGATGAACTAAAGCTTAATATTAATTTTATACCTTTTTTTTTCAAATATGTAAGATTAGGAAACTATAAAATTTTGAAAACCAGAATTCTTAAAACTTCTGCGGCCATCTGTCTTCTTTTATGATGATGTCTGGATCCCATTTCCTCTTTGTTCCATCAATCATTCCCTCTGCCACTTGTATTTCCATAACTCCTTCCCGATTAGCTCCTTCCCATTCGCATTTAAGGAGGATCCAGTGTCACCTGTGTTTAAAAAAAAATCACGCAACTTTTTTTTCAGCAATATATTCCCCACCAAACATGCCCCGTTCTTTCTTCCTGCTGGCCTCCATGGCAGGCATCTGGAAAGAACTGCCTCTCCTTGGCGTGCCATTGTGCGCCTTTTCGTTTCCTTTCTCACCTACCATCCCCTGAGTTCTGCTACCAGCCACAAATCCTTGAAGCTCCTCTTCATTTTTTTTTTTTTTGGAAGATTTTATTTAGTTTTATTATTTGAGAGAGAGCAGAAGCAGGATGAAGAGCAGAGGGAGAGGCAGACTCCCCGCTGAGCAGGAAGCCTGATGGGGGACTCCATCCCGGGGCTCCGGGATCATGACCTGAGCTGAAGGCAGACGCTTAATGACTGAGCCACCCAGGCGCCCCTTGAAGCTCCTCATCTCAAGGCTGCCAGGACCAACGGATTGCCACGTGGAATAAATGTTCGCAGATCTCAGCTTGCCTGAGCTTCCCGTGCCTTCTGTTGCTACTGCTCAGCCCCAAATCCTGACATTCTCTCTCCTCTTTGTTCCTATGACACCACTTCTCCTGGTTCTATCCCAACCTACTTGACTCTTTTTGCTATCTCCTTCTGCAACTCTAAGCTCTTCTTTTTTCCCCTCACCTCTGAATGGTACTTATTCTAGGCTCAGTCCTCAGGCTTCATTCCTACCCACTTTATGTTCTTTCTCTGTGGCTGGCATTATAGTCACATATCTACTTATCACCCCCCCAGTTGGTGTCTGTGGCCCAACTTATCTGTTCAGCTCCACATTCCCCTAAGTCTCCCAAGAAACCTGAAACCGACCCTTCCGGAATGCCACCTTCTCTCACTCCTTCTCTTCCCTGGATCTGTTTCCCCCACTCCAGACCCCAGTGAAGAGAACCACAGTCCCCCCAGATTTAGCAACTCGAGAACCAATCACGCAGCAAACCCTCTAAATGTCCCCTTAGAAATAGTTCCAATTCATCTCCTCTCCTCTATCTCTATACTACGGCCACTCTGAGAATTCAGGGGTATCAGGTGTGGAAAGCCCTTAGCATAGTGCCTGATACAGAATAAATGTCCAATAAAGTTAGTTTCTGCTCCTGCTAGTAATTCAATTCTTACTACAATACTACTACTATTAGTCAGGGTATGAGTATTTTTCTCCTGGCTACCTGCTGTTATTTCCCAATTCCACCTTCCTGCCACACCCTCTCTTTCCCTTTGTCTAACCCATGCATTGCTGCCAAAGTGACATGTTTAAAATATAAATTTGAGCCTGTTATGACACTGCTTAAAAGCTCTTGCTCTCCTCTGTTGCTTCAAAGGGCATTTCAGTCAGAGCTCACCAAGCCTCTGCTATTTGCCTTCTGGGCCCCCTCACTGCACCTCCTGACCACACCCACAGGCATCCCAAGCAGCAGCCGGGAGAGCTGCTGACAGCCCTCCAGAGAGCCAGGCTGCCACTTTCTTCATGCTTTGCTCTCACTGCGGAGAGTAAAACCTCTCCAAGAAGTCTTCCCTGCCCCCAGGTGGTGTTGAGTCTCTCCTCCTGTGCCCTGCCCCACATGGGAACGTCTGACCCGGCGTCTGTGGAGGGCACACGTAAAGCGATCCCTCTGCACTTGTCCCTGAGACCCATGAGGGAAGGGCTGTGCTTCTCATCTGAGCCTAGCATGGTGCCTGCACGTCATAGCAGCTCAAGTAGCAGCAAATCGTCAGATGAATGGTAATGCCAGTGACCCTTTCACAGGTGCATTTAAATGCACATCACATAGCCCAAACTGGACTATTTAGTATCTGTTTCAATACCTGAAAGTTTTGTCTCTGGATGAAAGCAAAGTGCTTTTCCAAACCTTGATCCTTCAAAGCCTCTTTGCCAGGCCGGGTCGTAGGTCTTGGGAACATGGAGATGCGTTCTAGCGGGGAAAATAATGTTATGTAGTGTTAAGTCCTGGGCAAAGGACAGAAAACCAGGTGTTAGTGAGAGATGAGAAGACTGGGCTTGGAGACACATTACACAGGGTGATGGAAGGGGGTGCTCTCTGAGAAGGGGACATTTGAGCTAACACCTGAACAATGAGAAGAAGCTTAACAAACATAAAAGCGCACTTTCATTACATCCGAGTTAACGGAAAGATGCTTTTGACCTTGCTCCTGGAGGCCACAGAAGAATCTCAGAAAATATAATCTGGCTTTAGATCATTCTCCCACAGCACTAAATTCATGGCCCTGAATTATGTAAGATGTCAGAGCATAAAGCACAACTGTAGAGAGACGGCAATTCTCCTAGCTCTGGGGAAACCTGACATCCCTGCCTCCTCTTCTGGAATGACTGCCTGGCCACTCCGGCTCCCGGGACAGGCTGATCCCCAGAGGGCACCCAGAGGCTCCTCCATCTATGATGCCATATAAAGTCTCCCATGGCTCGCCACAAGCCTTCCATTGTCCCTTCCCCTCATCTGGGCCAGCTCAGCCTCTCTTTCCCCAGATGGCACCTCTCTGACAGGTAAGTCCCTGCTGCTGGTGTTCCCCTCTCCTATTTTGTCTAAATGTATATCTGGTGCCCATCCAAAGTGATCATCAATAATGCTCTCCCGAGGAGCTGTTGGCCAGGTGCTTTCTGCAGAAATATTTTACTGAACTTTCCTTGTCATAGCCCCTCCTTCCCTTTGTAGGGAGATAATGTCTCCCTCCTATTGATCTGTAAACACATGCTCTAGCCAATGCTTGTCCTAGACCAATTGTTCCTGGCTCGTTCTTGCTATCTTGGCAATCAGAGAAATTGTTAACACACACGCACATGCACATTTGTTTGCAACACCTACTGGCATTTTTGGTCTTTGCAAAGTCCTAGCAGCTGCCAGTTCTTGTGCATGCCCCCAAACCTCCTAACAACCCCGTGATGTAGGTGCCCCCCCCGCCGCTTTTTTTTTACAAACAAGGACATGGATAGTAATAATAGTGCCTGCCTTGTACGGTTCTCTGAGGAGTAAATGAGACAATGCCCAGTATGCACTTCACCACAATACCTGTCACAGAATTAGCTCTCGGCAATAACTGTTGTTAATTGACTTCTTCATCTGCATTGCATTCCATTGCTAAGTAAAGTAGAAGACAGTATCTTAAAATTAATGAATTTAAAAGCTCACACTTTTATTTCCAGGTGATTCTTTTTTGCTAGCCATTCCCATGACTGGTTTTTACAAGTCAAAGAATTTGCCTCTGTGTCTTCAACGATGCACTAAGATGTACCCAAAGGTACTCAGGGGGTAAAGAGAATAGAGACTATCTCTCCACACCTCCTCAAGCCCTGTCCCCTCAAGCCAAGCATTTTGTCCGGGGCTCTGTAAGGAACGTCAGCGCAGCTCGGAGCCAGGAGGAGCAAGCTCTGAGGTCTGACTTGTACCTGTATTTCTTGCTTCCACAACTGCACAAAGCTCTTGTTTGATTCTTCCAGAGCTCACTCCTTCTCCTCCTGTCCCTACTTTCATCTCCTCCACCACCATCCTGGAAATCCCACAGAAGACATTTTCCTAAAAAGAGCACACACATCTCCAACTGCATTAGAACTTCAGTGCATCCCCAGATGCCAATAGATGTCCCTCAAAAAAAATGTGGTTGGCGTCGGATGAGTTTGGGAAGTCTTACATTAACTAAGTCTCCTCACTGTAGGGCTCAAGCTCAGAACCTCTGATAGGCTGGAATCAAGACAATGAGCATCTGGAGGCCCCAGACAACCCAGTGCTCCCCAAGGGAACTTGGCCTTAGAGCCCTTTGGCAGAGAAGGCTTGTTAACGACTTGCCAGGTCTGAGTATAGGGGCGGTGCACTATTTGCAGAAAAAGTGATCTCTACACTCTGTGGGGGGTGGGGGCGCAGGATTAGCGGGGAGGATGGCAAGAGAGGAAGGAGTAGAGGGCAGGACGGCAGCTGCCCAGGGGTCAGCTCAGCAGGAGAAAGTGGGACAGGCCCACGTGGAAAGAGAGACAAGGAAGACAGGTCTTATCAGAAATACCCGTGAATAGGAGAAAACTGGTATAGCACAGGGTGGAATGGCAAGATGCAACTATCGCCAAAATCTTTGCTTAGAGACCCCCGAATTCTAGCTAGGATTAGGGGAGGGAAGCAAATTGGCACCACTATTTGAGAGGAGTTGGACTGGGCCAACTCTGCCTGCAGAACCCTGAAGTAGCAGCCCTGGAGAAACAGCCCTGAGGGCAACCCCTTAGCACCCCGCTTTCAGATAAGCCCCGGCGATGCCAACTAACTCGGCAGCCCGGGCAGGTCATAGCTCTCCAGGAACCTGATTTTGCAGAATTGGTAACACCTGAATAAGGATGACGCCTGTCTCGAAGAGCAGTTGAGTGGCTTACAGAGGCAACCAGACCAGTATAACACACAGTGCCCAGAGCACAACGTGTTTATTAATTTCTCTTTGATGCATTGCATTTCTTTTCCCCTGTCATGATCTCTGCATCTCTCCTAGGCCAAGAAGAAGAGAGGCTGGCCCTGGAAACTGCACTGATGTATGGGGCTAAAAAGCCCCTCAACACGGATGGTCTTCTTAAACCCAGGTCTGACGTGGTCATGAATTTTGAAGTGGAAAATGCTGTGCTGGGAAGAGACCTCAAGCTAACTATCACCTTCCAGAACAACAGCTCCAACCGTTACACCCTCTCAGCCTATCTCTCGGGCAATATTGTCTTCTACACGGGGGTCTCCAAGACAGAATTCAAGAAGGAGACATTTGAAGTGACGCTGGAGCCCATGTCTTGTAAGCTAACAAGGGGGGCTCTTCTCCCCGGGACTTGTTCTCTGCCTCCCTGTCTGGCTTGGTGCTGTCACTCATTAATAACTTCCTGTCAGGGGCACCTGGGTGGTTCAGTTGGTTAAGTGTCCAACTCTTGATTTCAGCTCAGTTCATGATCTCAGGGTTGTGGGATAGAGTCCCACTTCCGGCTCTGTGCTCAGTGGGAGTCTGCTTGAGGATTCTCTCTCTCCCTTTCCCTCTACCCCTTCCCCCCACTCCCTCCCTCTTTTGTTCTCTCAAATAAATAAATGAATCTAAAAAAAAAAATAATAACTTCCTGTCAAAGTTAAAGTTTTGCCGCAGAGCTCAGAAACAGGAACCCCATAGGAGAACCTCCTTCTTCTAGAGGGGCCTCAGATTTCGGCTTCACCTCTCATGCATAGAAGTGAACACTGAAATTTTCAAAGCCTAAAGCCCCATGAGTCATGAAAATTAAATGTAACTTCTTGCTACTCAAAGTGTGGGCCGAGGACCTAAAACATCAGCATCCCCTGGGAGCTGGTTAGAAATGCAGACTGTCAGGTCCCACCCCAGATCTGTTGAACCAGGATCTACATTGTAACAAGATCCCAAGGGGATTTTAGTGCCCAGGAAAGTTTGTGAAGCACCTGTATCAGAAAGCAGCACCCCCCGCTCTACCCCGTATCTCTCTCCCCAAGTCATGTGTTTTGCTTTACCATTTAGAAAGTAAGAGATCTAAACTCTGCATATGGGCCATTTCTGAAAACTCATCTGCTGATATAGTGGGACAGGGGAGAGCCCACCCTTGGGAGAAGAGACTGGAGACTCAGGATGTGCTGTCCAGGAGCTTCTGATGGGCTTTGTTCTCTCTGCCACCTCTCATGGGGTCTCTTTCTCGTCCTTGATCCTGCCCAGCCTCCCTCGAATACATGCCCTTCCAAAGCATCTCCTTCACTATAAAAATTCAGAATATTTTAAGCAGGCTTGGGCTTGACAGTCTTCAGCTTACATTGGGAATTGCAGTTTTGACCAATCTCATTTCTTGGGGTACTAGTATTTAGGGGGCACAAAGGTTAGTCACATAACTGGTAAAATGAGTTAACTGGGAGAAACTGGTCTCCAGGCCAAGCATGTTGAGTTAAAGCAGGTTGGAAAGGATCTAAACCTTTCAGGGCACTGGATTTCTGTTGACCTGACATGTGGCAAAGAAAATTAAAGGTGTACAAATAATAAGTTTTACAACGTGAAGGCAAGCAAGACTAATATGCCCCCAGGGATAACCAACCCACACATCCCAGTCGTTTTCAAGCTTTCTGGATTCAGTGGCTGTCCCAAGCCCCAGTGAGTACCCTTGTGAGGCTATAGAAAGATATTCCCAGAAAAATGGGGAACATTCCTAAAAATCCTAATTCCAACAAACCTACCCAACCTTAGGGGAACAAATTTCCGGAGCTATAGTAATGTGACTAATGATTAGGAAATCACCATGGTATATATTTTTTGGAAACTGAGAGATCTAGCAATTTTCCTATCCCTCAAGGTAGGAAAGGTAATTCTTAAAGACAAGACTCGTCAGTATAAAGGACTCAAGACAACAGGCAGACACAGTGGAGTTTAAAGAAACTGAGTCTTGGAATTAGACAAATGGGGATTTTAGGTGTGACTATGTCACCTACTGGCTGTGTGTCCCTAGGCAAGTTACTTAAGTAATCTGAGCTCTTCCGTGCATGGGAACAATACCATCCACGCCACAGGGTTGTAGATTCGTTCCCCAAACCTTTATTTCATGCTTAATGTCTAGATGTTGTTTTGTCCTGGAAACACAGCAATGAACACAACAGAAGTGCCAACCCTCATGGGGTTTGTGGTCTTAAGAGGTGGGGGCTGGACAATAAACAAAGTACCATATAGTATAGTTATACACATAACAAGAAAATATAAAGCAGGGTAAGGGAAGAAGGGAATGTTGGTGGGGTGGGATGATCAGGGAAAACCTCTCTAATGGGATGACATTTAACAGGAACCTGACAGAAGGAAAGGAGCAAGCTTTGCAGCCAGAAGAAACTGTAAATGCAAAGGCCCTGAGGCCAGAGCATGTTTGATATGTTCAATGAGTAGCAAGGAAACCAGAGTTGGGAGCAAAGGTGGCAAGGGAGAGTGATGGTGTAGACCACATAAAGAACTGTGGGCCCTTGTAAGGACTTCGGCTTTGATTCTAAGTGAGCTGAGCCGGAGGAGCCATTAGAGGATTTTTTGAGCAGAAATGAGGCCTGATCTAACTTAGGTTTAACTATACACCATCCTTTCCCACCTCACAAGAATCCCATCTCCTTCCCCTTTTCTCCCTAATCCAATAAGAAAATGAGCTTCTATGAGTTGATAGGGCTGGAATGGCATGATACATTAACCCTCTCGGTCACTGATCTAGGGACAGCGACCAGGTGGAATTAACTGTATGCAATAGGTTGCAAACTGCAATCTAAAATAAATGGCAAATAATAATAATAATAATAAAATAAATTGCAACGTGTTGCAAAAAGCCACCTGATTCTAGACCTTGATCAAGCAGGTCAGAGTACACTCCTAGGAGACTCGGTTGCAAAGAAAGTTTTCCAAGTAGAATGGGAGGCATACTTCCCAGATTGATGATTAAAGAGAATGTGTGGGCTAGAATCAGCTTGGAAGATTTGAATAACTTAAACCTTCCAGTACCTTCAAAGGTGTTATCATTTCCACTTGACTATATTTAGTTTTCTTTGCTTTTTGGAAAAAGAGATGAGGCAGCTCCTGTCTGTGTCTCCCTCGGCTTTCCCCAGACACAGTAAATGATATTGGCAGGAGCCCAGCTCCACCACTCATAGAATGAAAACCTATTCTTCTTTCTCTTGCCACGTTTAATAAACTTTATCTAGAACAATTTCTTGTGCAGTGGCAAAACACAGCACTTACATAACATACTATTTCAGGAGCACTGTTCTCTTGGGCTTGGAAGCACAGCCCAGTTTCCTTAGGGCTATGATTTAGAGAATGTTCTACCCAAGAGAATAATGTCCTGGTGCCAACATTATAAAGGTAGCAAAAGTCTTCGTTAAAATTGGTAGAAAAAAGTCAGAAATATCTCGCCAACCTCAAGGAATCCAGTGGTCAAACAGAGCCCCCCCCCCAGTAATAACCAGAGGAAATCTCATTTTTTAGTATTGCTGGAGGCAGCTAGAGACAAAACATATGTTCTTCAAGGCATACCATTTGCCACTCCATCCATCCAGAGCTGGGGGCATGAAAAACAGGCCCCTTGTGCTCATCTGAGGTTGTATCCAGTCAAGGGATGGAGTCTTATCTGTCTGGACAATTAATTTCTAGGGGAGTCATGGAGGAAGTAGGGTCCAGGCTCAGGCCCAAAGAAGGCAATATGAAAGGGTCATTAAAAAAGCAGAATTCAAGGGCCAAGTTCAAGCCAAGGTCCTCCTAACTCTGGGAGCTTCTCAAAGTTGAATATGCATCATGTGGGCATCTTATTCAAAAGCAGATCATAATTCAGTGAGTTGGGGTGGGGTTAGGGGTGGGGGGGTTCAGAGAACCTGCGTCTCTTATGAGCTCACAGCTGATGGTCTGTAGGCCACACTCCAAGCAGCAAGCTCCTGGACTGGAAGGGCCATACCTTCCACATGAACCAACGCTTCTACAGAGCTGATCCTGTGGGGATCATCCTGGTTGTTGGAGCAGTACCCCCCGCAAACCCCAGCTGCACATTAAAATCAGCCGCGAAACCTGTAAAATAATGCCTGGGCCCCAGCCTCCAAACTCTGATTTAATTGGTCTGTGATTTAATTGGTCTTAATTCAACAGGGCGGGTTTTTAATGTCCCCACCAGGATTAAGAACTCCTCAGTCAGAGGGCTAGAGGAGGTCACAGTGCCTATTTATCTGTGAAGGTGATGAGCATGGCCTGATGCATCCTCGCCTGTGGGCCGACAAGTCAGGGAGCCTTCCCTGTGCCCTGGCTTGCCCTACACAGTATCCCGTCCTCATTGCAGGACTGCTGTTCACTGGGGACTGACTATCCCCTGCACCTGCACGTAAAACAATGGACCCTGGGAATCATTCCTTTCAATAACTTCCACAGGGACGAGGAATCTTTGGCAAAAGGCAGACATTGGGCAAGGAAGCAGTGGTGGAGATGTTCCATTCTGTGACCATTTGCAGAGCCTGTGTTCTGGGCATGGGGATGGAGGCATTGCCACCCATTTCCCCACTGGGCCAGCTGTCAATGCAGCGCGAGCACCTGGCTCTGAGCAGGTGAGCAGGTGCCACACCATGGCCCGGGCTCGGCCTCTTTGCTCTATTGAATCCTGAGCAGTGGGAAATGAGAGTGATAGAGAAAGCGGGCAGTGCAGCCGAACAGGACCTCACTGTTACATTCAGAGCCACAAGATAGCATTTCTGCCCTCAGCCCAGATGGTGAATGGAGGGGAGCCTGGACCACTCCCCAGCCTCTAAATGTCAGTCTCACTGGCCTGTCCTCAACACCTAAAAGCTAACATCAGTGACTTGAGGAACCAGGCATTCAGCACAGAGGTCCTTTACATTGCAAATAGGAACGGGGTGGGAGAGACCTGAATGCCTAGGATAAAAACTGGTTTCAAGGGCTTCTTTCTCTTATATAGAAAAGTCATGTAAGATTGGTACAGAAAAAGCTGGAAAGAAAATGTGAAGTGCTATAAGGATAAGGTTTAGGTAGTTGACAGTTTTGCTCAAGGGTGGCCTATGGCCTGGGAGAGATGTTTCTTGTTGCACGAGGGGACGGTACATGGACTGGTGGCCTTGGGTTTCTGTCATCTTGGGATTGTCCACGGTCAACTCAAAACAGCCACAGTTAAAACCCCTTGGTCCTTGATCTTCAACATCCCTGTCATGGCTTTGCATTTTTACAACAGCAAAAGCACTGTTTGGAAAAAAATGACACATTTTCTCTAGTAAGGCTTTCCTGAATATTAAATTTCTAGCACATTCTTGTTTTATCCAAGAAGCACGAGACTTTGTCCTTGATTGAGTCTTCATCCTTCACCTTGGCTGTGCTTCTGGTGGATGCTGAGGTCCTTTTGCTCCCTTGAATCCCGATGGGGAAGGAGATGGAGCACGTGGGCAAAGTCAAGCAGGTCTAACTCAGGTCCTGATGTTCTGTATGTTTGTTTCTCCTCCTGCCAGTCAAGAGAGAGGAGGTGCCGATCAGAGCGGGCGAGTACATGGGCCAGCTGCTGGAACAAGCATACCTGCACTTCTTTGTCACAGCGCGTGTCAACGAGACCAAGGATGTTCTGGCCAAGCAGAAGTCCGCCATGCTGACCATCCCCCAGCTCACCATCAAGGTCAGTTTTACCATCTCAGACAAGGGAGAAGGGCAAGGTTATTGATTAGGCACCCAGGCGTACTTAGTGTGTGTGTGTCCTGCTCAACAAAAAAAGTAGGGGGGGAGCTAAGATCCTCCTGTTCTTTGAAAGAAGTAAACTGCCCTATATATAGACACACACATATATAACACTTTTCCCTCCTCTCCAGATTTAAATATATAGATGTGGCTGCAGATATAAGTAAAACCTGTGGGTATAAACATACTTGTGGAGGATGATAAAGATGTGTAATGGACACAGATAGAATTTCAGTGTCTCCAGAGTAAAGTGGGTCAGGCATGGCATGAAATGGAAACCACTGGGATCATCTCCCGCCTGCATTCGGGACATTGAGATCTAACTGTATACAGTAAGATGCACTCACTGAGATGTCAGCTTGGTGACAGTGAGTTTGTATATACATAGACGCCTTGCAACCACCAGCCAGATGAAGACATAGAGGAGTCCAAACACTCCAGAAAGCTCCCTCATGCCTTTTCCAGTCAATAATCCCTTCCCCCATCACAAAGATAGCCACCTTTCTGACTTCTATCACCATAGGGTTATTTTGCCCGTTTGGCTAGTAGTTTTTATTTGTCTCTCCATTTACCACCAGAAATCTCTGCCCAAATGGTTCAAAGAAACTTGGCAGAGGAGGGCAGAGGATGGATGGAAATGGAAGACAAATATGGCAATCTGTTTGCTCCCTCTTTTCGGGAACACTGGCAGCATCTGTAGCCACATCCTGAGACACCTTCCTGTCCTGTGAGCAGAAACCCAGGCCTCCATCCATGTCCTTGGGGTATGATAACCTTATGTCAGCCTTACCCAGGTATTAGAGGCCTTCTCAAGTTGCTGGAGGTCTTTTTTTCCAAAAGTGATTAAAAGCATTAGCACAGATCTTAAGCTTCATTCTTCTAAGGTGATCATCAAAGTTTACCAAGTTGCACATATTTTAAATGCCCCCAGAGGTGGCAGGGGTCGGGGGTACTGTAAGCCCTGGGTCTTATGAACCATTTGCTGTGAATCATTTGTAAAGCTAATGACTGTCGTGGAGCACTCAGCAAGGCAGCTGCCAATGGGTCTAGCGCTGTGCACATGGCACTTGAGGACGGCCATGTTATGAGTCACCCCAGGGAGAGGCTCACCCAAACACACACAGGTTGTGCCCATTGAGACAGAGAGCCCAGGTCCTTCATTTTGAGAAAGGCTTAAGTCATCCTGAGGCCTTCCCCCTCAGGGCCCGCCCACGGCCTTTCACAGAGTCCACACAAGAGGCCTTAGAAGATAATCGAACAATGAGGTCGTGCAGGGTCTGCAGGCAGAACAGGAAACAACTGCAAATGGAGGGTGGCATGAGGCTCCTCCAGAGGGGCCATCAGTGCTGTTTTTGAAAACGTGCATTCACTAGCATAAGGTGCTGGTACCAGAACCAGGGCCCCCCCCCCCGCAATGGCAGGTGCTCCCTGGGAGACCTGTCCCACCGGAGGTGGGGCCTGCCTTCATTAGGAACCGACGCCCTGTCCCTATGAAGGGCTCAGGAGAGAGCCCCTCCAAGCTGTGGGATGCTCCAGCCATAGCCTAAGATAGAATTTAATTGCACCACTGACAATAAACTGGATGTATAAAGGAAACTAATACCTTTCATCTTTTAGACATTATTAATGTGAAGCATTATTTGTTGGTTGTCTTCTGGGTTTACTTAAAGAGCAGTGAAATTCCCCTGGGGCAGAATGGAAATGCCCTCTGCCACAAGTTGAGTGACCTGGGGAAGGGCAAGTGTCCTTTAAAAGAGTTACGGGTTTTGTTTTGTTTTTTTCTTAGTTTTTATTTCTGTAAAGGTATGGGAGATGCTGTTCTTGGAAGAAACTTATTTAGAGGTAGGACCATTTGACCAGCGCTCCAGCCTGAGTGAGATGGAAATCCTGGCTTCTGTCCAGTGCTGTTTGTTCAGGAAAGGAGTCAGGAGCATCCTCACCTCAGCTACCCCTAAACCACTAACCTCATTAACCATGCCAATCCCAGGGATGAACTAAATCCAAGCAAGGGAAGAGGTGCTCCTGGATAAAGAACCTCACACTGTAAAAGCCACCCAGATGTCACCGAGCTGTGAGGGGCTCTGGTTCCAGAAACTCTGGCTCCTGGGCCAGGGACCTGGGATGCTGCTTGGCCTACAGGAGATATGACCCTCCTGAGAGTGACTGAGAGAGAGAGAAAGAGGACACAGAGAAAAAGAGGGGAGGGAGGAATAGAGGAGAGGAGAGAAGAGGGAAGATGGTGGAGGAGAGGAGAGGAGAAGAGAGGAGAGGAAGGACGTGGAGGGGAGGGGAGGGATGGAGGGAGGAGAGAAGAGGAGTGGGGAAGAGGAGGGAGGAAGAGGAAGAGAGGGAAGTGGGGAGGGGGAGGAGAGGAGAGAGGAAGGGTAGAGGAGGGGGGAATGAGGGGAGAGGAGAGAAAAGGAAGGAGGAGAAAGGAGCAGAGGAGGGAGAAGAGAGAAGGAAGGGGTAGAAAGAGAGAGGGAAGGGGGAGCAGAGGGGAGAGGAGGGAAGGGGAGGGAAGGGGGAAGCAAGAGGAGAGGAGAAAGAGAAGGTTATGATGATCTTGGCCCAGGAGAACTCAGGGAGAGGGGTTGAATAACTTGTCTAAAGCAGGAGTTGTCAAGGAGGTAAAGGCCATGAAAGCACAAAAGCACAATGGCTCAGGGGTCCACAGTTACCTAGGTGCATGTCCCCAAATTCTAGGAAGATGCTAGAACCCATTGTCAATCTCTTTGAGCCTAGGTCAGGCCCACAGTGGACAGACCCTCTCGAGGTCGCTGTGAGGAATGTGCTGGACACAGGGTGACTCTGCGTGAGAGATGAAGGGTTAGGAGGATGTGATCATCCCACCCTTCATTTTCGGGCAGGAGAGGAATGAGACCAGCACGTGGCGATGACAATGACAGCAGCTAGGAGCCACTGAGCTCTAGGTTATTGTAATTCTCTTGTGTTATCTTAGTTAGTCCTTGTGACCATCCTAGAGGTGGGTATTATTGCAGTCCCCATTCTACAGATGAGAAAACAGAGACCTGAGTGGGTGGTAATATCACAATCAAAAACATGGGCTCTGGGTTATGCAGCCATCAAAAAAAATGAAATCTTGCCATTTGCAACGATGTAAATGGAACTAGAGGGCATTATACTAACTGAAATAAGTAAACCAGAAAAAGACAAGTATCATATGATCTCACTGATATGAGGAACTCTTAATCTCAGGAAACAAACTGAGGGTTGCTGGAGTGGTGGGGAGTGGGAGGGATGGGGTGGCTGGGTGATAGACATTGGGGAGGGTATGTGCTATGGTGAGTGCTGTTTGTT